AATTCATGTAAAATAACTACACGTGAGGTTATACTTTAATGTATGCAACACAAGGAATTATAAACTTGAAAACAATACTGAATAATTATGCACATGAATATAACATTATGAGTGAGTGAGTGAATTTAGTTTTAGGCCGCTTTTAGCAATATTCCACCAGTATCATGGTAGGGGACACCAGAAATTGGATTCACACATTGTACCCATGTGGGCAATCGAACCTGGGCATTCGGCATGACAAGCACACGCTTTAACCACTAGGCTACCACACCTCCCCTAAAACATGATTTTCTAAATGCATTGCTTAGTCCTGACATGTATACAATATTTGGTTGTTAAGAATATATATTCAATACTAGAGAAGTCTGAATAGGATGTTATGAAAATGGGCACAACACCTGTGAATTTCTCGTATGAATACACATGTATACACAACTACAGCAGTCTGAATATGTATACAATTCTGTGATAACACAAACACCATGTTGACCCCTTGTTTGTTGCCTCGAGAATTACATCATTCAATCTTCCCAGCTTATTCCCACGCCTAAAAACATTCCTACACCCTATACTATCCACTTTTTACACCGTGCTGGTTCAGCTTCAACCAATCCAATAAAGAAAGCTTGAAATGTGACATTCTTATTGGTAGATATTTGGGTACAGATGTAACCCAACACTGTCTCCAAGCCAGTAAACCACGATTCCCGACTTGCTTTGCCAGCAGATTTACCAGTCACGATGCAGCCAGGCAGGGATACAGGCACGACAGGGGGAAAGTGAAAACAGCTTTTGGAGAGCGGCCTTGACATTGGACAGAAACCTGTTGGCTTCTCCAGAATTAGACAAGCTCTTCTGTCAAGCCCAATAAACGGGTCGTTCCAACATGTGAATTTATGTAGAACTGTTGTCCCATGAGCTGAGGGTCTATTTACAACCCACTGGTGTACAATCCACAACATGCTTAGGGTTGGACGAAATACATTCATATAACAGACTGCAGCCAACTGTAGTGAGTGAGTTGGGTTTTATGCTGCTTTTAGCAGTATTCCATCAATACCACACAGCGGACAACAAAAATGGGCTTCACACATGTGGGAATATAAATGCCTATAGAATGCATAACTCAGCAAAGAAACTGCACTGCTATCCAAAGACCATGCACTTATAAATACCATTCTACCATCACTTGACCCGTGAAGATCCGGGGTAGAATAGGTCTTCAGCAACCCATGTGCTTGCCATAAAAAGGCGACTATCTTGTCGTAAGAGGCGACTAACGGGATCGGGTGGTCAGTTTCGCTGACTTGGTTGACACATGTCATCGGTTCCCAATTGCGCAGATCGATGCTCATGTTGTTGATCACTGGATTGTCTGGTCCAGACTCGATTATTTACAGACCGCCGCCATATAGCTGGAATATTGCTGAGTGCGGCGTAAAACAAAACTCACTCACTCACTACCATCACTTCAGTAAATACTAGATTGTGATTGGTTAATCATCGTCATTCAGAGGTATATAAACATGTTGTATACCTCTGATTTTCCAACACAGTATGTTTATCTCCGAATTAAACCACACAACTAAAAAACCCATTGAGAAGTACTTCTTCATTCTACCATCAAACCTTCACTTGTTCCTAAATATAAACATAAGCAGGACAAAGCTGCAATGTTGCAGCTGTCAACTACACAAGAATAAGTGACATTATTCATTCATACAACAATGTCTCCATTCCTATGAAACATGAAAGGAGCAATTCTTATGAGACGACTGTTGCCAATATCAGACTGTGACGTCAGCCTTTCCACGTCCTAGAACCATAGCCAATACTCAATGCACCATATCCCCTATTCAGCTCTCTCCACTAATTAACATGGCTGCTGTATTTTTTATGACCTGCCAACCAGAGACATCCCAGGTAAGAAGAAATCGATGAAGAGTTCAATACACGATGAGGCCTAAACCCCTTACAACCAACAAATTTATTTCATCAATACGTGCATTCAGGCAGTCTAATACACTGCCTAGAATAAAATATGAATATCTATTTACACCAATATCCAACACAGTGTTATCAATGAAAATTGCCTTTTTGTTGAAATGGCCTTTATTAAAAAAGGTATCAGTCATATTAACAATACTTCCACAGAACTTGTTATATTGTTGATTTTGTTTCTTTTTTTCAAATAAATAACTTTGTCACAATGAATATTGTGTGGTATATCTTTAGTCACAAGTTTACATTTACAATGTACTTTTCAAATCCCTATATTAATGCCTGTCAGGAGGTTGTGCTTGGATTGCCCCATTCTCATTTTTGTGTCGCAATCCAGATACTTTTACCTATTGATACTAATATATCACACAAGTATAACACGAATTTCATTCAAACAGGACACTGCACAACATGTTAAACAAGCAACAATGTGAAAATGCTGGCTAATTTAAAACAATTTTAAGGATAAGGTAAGGAATTACTAAACATGTTGATGTATATTCTATATTCCAATATCTTCAACTTCTTAATGCAGTATTGTCCAAGTACTAAAGTTTGCATCTCACAAGAGTTGAGATTTTACATTACATGGACATTATATCTGCCTTTGTGTCTTGCATGATATTTCTGCAATTACATACCACCATGTCAAACGAGTCCGTATCACTGTCCATATCCACATTGATATCCATTGCACTTCCAAGTCCAGCACACACTAACAGAAAGTCCCTTGAGCAGGTAGCATCCTTATAACCCCCTGTATAGTTTTACAACAGTGGTCAGTAGTCCGGCCAATCAAGTGGTCACTCCAGAAAGGTAATTAACAGTAGTCAGTCTATAGAAGCTGTTACATTCCAGCCATAAATTGGGCATAATCACTAAACAATAGCTTTAAAGTCTCCATAGCATTCTGTGAGATAGACAGTAAGGCTAGATATAAAGGGATCAATCGCCACTCCACCCTGAGGGGGAGGGAATTAAGGGTAGACTCCACCCATGTGTTACGACATGATAGCCCCAGGCAGACTGTTACACTTCATAGCTGATAGCAGTGGACAATCAAAAGATAAACATTATTGTGTCTCACAATGTAAATAGGTATAATACAGTTTACTGTTTTTCTGTCTATTAACTACAGCCATTGTGATGCAGTACTTAACTTTCAGCAGGTCAGTCTTGACAACAACTTGTTTGTGTAAAGTTAGATTAATGTGTTGAAGTTTTTATTGGTTCTACAATCTTGACATGACATTTATAGTTTGTTTTGAAAACTTTATTTTGACTTGAGAAAGAAATATCCAGCTTACAACTTAACTTTCTTAGCATGACAAATTAGGGAATTTCACATGGGGAGAAAGGTATATTTGTTGAGTTGTGGGAGGACCATGAGGTGTTGAAATCCTCGCCCTTCACACGTCAGTCACTTGACAAGAGAACCACAAAATTTCCATTCATGAGTTACCACAAACAGTTCAAAGTTTATACTGCTATGAGTTTCAAAGTCTAGCACATGTGTTGCCAACACTATGTTAAGTCACCTTAATACATCAGTGTTATGGAGTTAATCTTGGTGGCTATCAGTTGGTCAGGAACAACTGAAGTAGTGACCCCAGTGATAACAAGATGTCATCTGATTACAGGGTTAAACTCCATGACAGTGTTTGGGATGCTTCCTATATGTAATTCCCTAATCAGGAACTTGTTGTGACCTGTAAACAGTCTTCCTCAACAATACCTTTCCCCGTTCACAATATATTATAGATCACATAACTGAATATCATACTGTCACAAGGGGTTATATCCGGATAGGATAGCTATAAATACATTGTTGCACACTGTTGCAGTTTTGAAATTTTCTTTGGTATTTGATAAAATACACCCACTACATTGAGTCTGTGGTGACTGTGTGTAATCAACTCGGAAAGAGTTCCTTCTGTTTCCCCAACTCTAAACCAAACCCTAAACCTAGCCCTAACTTAAATTTTACACTTTTAATCATTTCGTGAGTTCTCTAGTAATTGTTGTGTTAAGTTTTGTTTATAATTCTAGAATATTTATACATATTATTTGGGATGGGGGAACGGGAGGAACTCTTACCATCAACTCATTATAGCCCCTATTATTTGATTGCTCTGGTAAATAACTGGCAATTACAAAACCAGCATGTTAATTATTGGTGATAATGAGTGTCAGTGGTACACAATAGAAAATGTTGAATTATTCACAATACTGTCAGCTGAGCTAAATTAGCAACATTGTTGTCTAGGCTGTGGTTATGATAATTTAATCCCACATTGAGAAGAAAACTAAGAAACAGCTTATATACTTTAATCATAACATCATGTCAATTACTTTTATGACAATTGCTTTCTGTGTCACACATCAAACGAAATACCTTAGTGTAATAATTCCATAATAATTCAACACAAATCAACGTGATATATGATGTTATCAATTTCTCGTATTTCAAACAGCAAATAATTAACTGTCATTAATTTCACTTGTAAATTCTTATCGACACAGTTTGTATGCGGCTACTTATAACAGACGGGTGCTATCACGCTGAAAGTCAATTTCGTGACCTGAGAAATCAGTGGGTATTTTTTAAAGATCCGGATTTATATATGAGGGACAACGCCCTCGTGAAATACGGGGTACGCAAACCCCAGCACTGAAAGGGGGATGACAACCCCTTAGAATCACGTCCAATACAATGGGAAGACGGTCATGCATGCAAGCGGCTTTGTAAACACATGGGCGTTTCCAAACTCGCACTGGCTTGTCGTCCAGCACTCACATGGCCCATGTTTTCAACAAAATTTTCTCGTTCCAAACAACAGAAAACTACTGACACAAACCAGTATCAATGATGTACTAGCATACTGCCCGTCTGGTCGATTCCGGTGTGTTTCGGTGCCAAATTTACCCCAAAAAACGACGTTTGTAGAAAACATATGGAAGTGTCTCATGGACACATGCCCGATTTCATCATAGCTTACCATAGAATGGGAGCTGAACATATCGCTGTCAAGAAAATCTGTCATGTCCGAATCCTCCATATCGCCAAGTTTGTGATCAGTTCCGCAGAGAACGTCCATGGTCAGAAGTCCCCGAGGTGACCACTGGTCTGGGAGCCTCAAGGGATAGTCGGTGCCGGCAAAACGCTCTCAAACAAAATTCCACCGTCCTCTCTCGTGCTCGCTTGGCGAATTGAAAGGCAGAACCGAAGCACACACTTGATAATATACATCCGCGGAGGCAGAATGTCACCCAAACACTAGTTATTGGCTAAAGCCCGACAACCTGTGGCCGCATCGATCAAACTTCACCAACGAGTGGTTTATTCATGTTCCTGTGAATAGTGCTCCGAACAAACAGTACAGCGAGCTAGCTGTAAATTAATTTAAGCGAGGAGTTTCCGTAAATAACAAAACTAATGCATATGCATATCAACCTACCAAGACCAGTAAGACACGTTAGTATTCAGCACATTTTAGCCAATCAGAGAGAGGGAATGCGGGGAAACCTATTCAAATAAACCCGGTCACATGACATAACAGGGCTATATTTAGTAACAATAGTATTTCTACTCCACAATCACATGCTCAGTGTTTTGGTTTTGAGAACCACATGTTCAGCGTGCGGCCAGAGCTTTGACGCCCCCGCACGGATAAGGACGCGCTGCACACTTTGTTGAGAGAGTTTTCCCGAAACTTGACACTTGTCCACAGACCTACTGCTGTTGTTTCACAAGTGAAATGATTATTTCACAATTGTCGCTTTCCTGTATTAATTTGTGTTGCTTTCACTTCCAGTAAACTCTACAATGTGCATCATCCCCCCCCCCCTCCCTAATGTTACTGATATCAATATATGAATTTAAAGTGAACAGCTTTATCTGAATATATGGAATCTGATTTACATCTCTCTATATTGAATAATGTTTTCGATATTTAAAAAGATAAAAGAACATAATATGACTGGGGTTTTTTTACGAATAAACATATATCCATTAAAGCTGTATGTTCGGAAGCCGTGTTATTGAGCTTTTTTAAAAAAAATCTGCACTATAGATTGAGAGTGAAATAGATCAAATATACTTAAATATACACTATTTTGAGAGTGGAACATGGAACGATAAAGATATCCCAATAAAAAGTGGGGTATTACATGCTAGTATCTAGCATCAATTGTAGGATGAATACTAAACTTGGTCCATGATTTTAAGTATAGACAACTGTGTCCAATGTTTGTCTCTGACACTGACAGATGGTCCTACACCCAGCGAGGTCTTCAGCTCTCGATGCTTGTACACCTAGAAGATCTGGGTTAGAATTGGTCTTGTCGCTAGAGGCCACCAACAGTACCAGGTGGTCAGGATTTGGGACTTTGTTGATCTATGGTATCACGTTTGCGTACATCAACGCTCATGATGTCAATCACTGGATCGCCCGGTCCAAACACGATTGTTTACAGACCGCCGTCATATATAGCTGGACCATTGTATGCCGAGTGCGGCGTTAAACCAAAAAGTGGCAATATATGTCCCACTTGCAAAGTTCCCCATGAAGATCCGGGTTAGAATTGGTCCTCAGTAACCCGTCCTTGTCGTAAGAGGCGTCTAACGGGATCGGGTGGTCAGGCTCGTTGACTTGGTTGGCACATGTCATCGTATCCCAATTGTGTAGATCGGTGCTCATGATACTGATCAGTGGATTGTCTGGTCCAGATTCAATTGTATACAGACCCCTGCCATATAGGTGGAATATTGCTGAGTGCGGCGTTAAACAACAAACCAACCAACCATACTACACGATAATATTAAACCGCGTACATCGTGTTCTCATTAGCAGTGTATATGCATGCATCGCGTTACACACGTACAAAACCCATGTACATTACAGCTAATGACACTGAGGGAAGCCCCCTTCCCTTGATAATCATTATACAGGGACGCTCGCATGTAGACTCTGCCAACCAAACTGACTATCAGAACACTGCAGCACACAAGCTTAGACTACCTCGCCACTAATGAAAAGTGACAATATGTGTGTGTGTGTGTGTATTTGTTCCCTTCCCCCCCGACGATCGAATAACCCCCGCCGCCGTGGAAAATTAGGCCTTGATATGATAAAAACATATTTACCAACGCAGACTCATGCTTCAAGATCGTCCTCCTTCTACATTTGTTAACAAAAGAGAATTCTGTAGGGTTGATCTATATATACGTCATGACAAAATTTAAAGACTTTTTACCAAGCGATCTAAATTTTAAAGATTTAATAAAATAAGTTACCCGATGCGTGAAAACGCTTTGCATCTACACGTATATGTTGTTTTGGCCTGCTTGTTGAGGGTGGATAGCCTACTGGTTACACCGTTGGCTCGGTACGCCGAAGACCCGGGTTCCATTCCCCACATTGATACAATGTGTTAAGCCCATTTCTCTCTCTCTCTCTCTCTGTCTCCGCCCTGATATTGCTGAAATATTGCTATAAGCGGTGTAAAATCAAACTCACTCACTATCATGTATCAAGTGTTGTGTACTATTTCCGTTACTACGGCGATGGAGTAGCCTAGCAGATAACTCGTTCGTATTTCACGACGAAGACCCGGGTTTGATTCCTCGTTTATCTCCCAAGTATTGCTGAAAGTGGTGCAGAACCATATACTTACTCACTTATACCATGCACTTGGTAGTTTACATAAAACGTCTACGCAGAGTAGACAGAATTTATGTATAATGTCCTCACTATACTGTAACATCCATACTTTATTATCCATAAATTATGTCTTATTTGTCATCCGCCAAAGAAAAGCCTATTAAACAATTAAAACTGGGCTATAAACAAAGTCCACTTAAGAACAATGCGCTATTGTAATGGCGGCGGTGTGATATGCCGATCGCTTCACACAATATTTCGTCGAAATTAATGCATAAGATATTGAATGAAATTTTGAAGAGAATAAATAAAATAAATTATGAAAATAAGTCCAGACATAACGGGACATTTTACGACAAGCATGGGTTACACGAGTCCCACATGGGAAAGAAACTCAATGCTCACTGTGGCGTGTATTTGACATCCTCTGATTTCTGTTAAAAAGGACTTGACTAGACTAACATCTAGTCTCTGAAATGAACATATTTTACAGAAAAAGTTTTAAATCCAAATGATGTACAATAAAAGAAGCCCAGAGACTTTCTTCATTTTCAGAAACTGTGGTAATCGAGACTTGCCACACATTCTACACTTACATGGGCTGCATTGGGTATATATATTTCAGGGTCGGTATGACAGACTAGGACTTGGTGTACGATAGTTTCCAGTGGGTTATAGCCGAGTGGGTGAGTGAGTTTAGTTTTACGCCGCACTCAGCAATATTCCAGCTATATGGCGGCGGTCTGTAAATAATCGAGTCGGGACCAGACAACCCAGTGATCAATAGCATAAGCATCGATCTGCGCAATTGGGATACGATGACATGTGTCATCCAAGCCATCGAACCTTGACCACCCGATCCCGTTAGTCGCCTCTTACGGCAAGGATGGGTTACTGAAGGTTCATTCTAACCCGGACCTTCACGGATGGGTTACAGCTGACGTCTCATCCGTATCATTATGTGGCTTGAATATCCACACGATAATTCACCAATAAGGGATATGAATAATTCAGGGCTATAGTTCAGAATTTCGAATGATCTTTCAGCAGAGATATAATGTGGGTGTGTAGTTACGGTTTGAATTCTGTCACCCTGAAAGAATAAATGGTAAATTGCAGAATGTCCAATATGCATTCGACACGAACGGTGAGTCATCATTCTCGTAGTAATTGTCTAAATCTTGGAGTGAATGAGTATGGTTTTACGCCGCTTTTAGCAATATTCCAAAATATTCAAATGGGCTTCACATGTAGGGAATCGAACCCGGGTCTTCGGCGTGACGAGCAAACGCTTTAAGCACTAAGCTAACACGCCGCCTCTTTAAATCTTGGACTAGAACACTTTAAATCGCCAGAGCATGTTGACACGTAGCGCATATGTCTGTAGAACACCTCTGCTGTGGTTTGAAAACTACGATGTTTGGAATATGGTCAGAACACATGGACGCTCATTCGATACATCCATGTGTTCTGTCAAGTGTTCAGAAACAGAGCTCCCAGGTTCAGAGAGTGCAGGACACAAAGCCTTGACAAGGAAGGATTCAGACTCATCCCGGCTCTGCAGGATCTGATTAATCTTGACTGCTCTGGACTTCCTCCGTGGTATGGGGCGGTGGTAGCCTAGTGGTTAAAGCGTTGGCTCGTCACGCTGAAGACCCGGGTTCGATTCCCCACATGGGTACAATGTGTGAAGCCCATTTCTGGTGTCCCCTGCCATGATATTGCTGGAATATTGCTCAAAGCGACGTAAAACCATATTCACTCACTCCTCCGTGGTGTAGTGGATAGAGCGTTTGGCCGAGGAGGTTCCATTCCCTGTTGGTACACACACTGTCAACAAGGACACACCCACACTCTCTTTTTTCTCACTCACGCTAATACACACAGCCACATACACGTCCACTGACAACCATTCTCTCAAACGTACTGACACACGTGTCTGTGTCTGTCTGTCTGTCTGTCTCTCTCTCTCACACACACACGCACATTGTTACCCAATCTCTAAAACATACATACATATTCTTTCTAACGTCTCTCTCTGTCTGTGTCTTATTCTTACTCATTCTCTCAAACACACTCACATACATATTCTCTCTCTCTACCCCCCTCTCTCTCTCTCTCACACACACACACACACACACACACACATTGTTACCCAATCTCTAAAACATACATACATACTCTCTCTCTCTCTGTCTACCCCCCCCCCTCTCTCACACACACACACACACACATTGTTACCCAATCTCTAAAACATACATACATATTCTTTCTAACGTCTCTCTCTGTCTGTGTCTTATTCTTACTCATTCTCAAACACACTCACATACATACTCTCTCTCTCTCTTTCTAACCCCCCCCTCTCTCACACACACACACACACACACACACACACACACACACACACACACACACACACACACACACATTGTTGTTACCCAATCTCTAAAACATACATACATATTCTTTCTAACGTCTCTCTCTGTCTGTGTCTTATTCTTACTCATTCTCTCAAACACACTCACATACATATTCTCTCTCTCTCTTTCTACCCCCCTCTCTCTCACACACACACACACACACACACACACACACACACACACACACACACACACACATTGTTACCCAATCTCTAAAACATACATACATATTCTTTCTAACGTCTCTCTCTGTCTGTGTCTTATTCTTACTCATTCTCAAACACACTCACATA